ATAGCAACACTAACTCTAGCCCTAGAATTTCTTTCAAAAGAAATCTGGTGACATTAAAGTCACCCCCCAAACACCAGAATGGAGCGGATAAGGATGCCACTAAGTCGAGTTCCTCTCACAGTTGTTCTCTGAGATTATCCGTGTGTGGACCATAAATCGTAAAAAACTTCCACTGAAATGCATCGAAATTTCTAGAAAGGACCACAGATGTTGAGAAAGAGCCTGAGTGGGATAAGATTAGGGTGAATAAGGAGGGGTCCCAGACGACCCAAATCCCAGCAGATGACGCAGTTACTGGCAGGGCCACCCATTGGCCTAGCTTTCGGCCCCAAACAAGTCTGACTTGGGTAAGGGATAGAGCTGGGAGTTTCCGTTTCAGACAGAGCAAGGAGAGCCATGAAGTGGAGCGTAGTTATATCCCGGATTGCCGAACACTTTGAGGGGTTGCCAAGGCCGCACGCATTCAAAGACAATATTAACATAATCAAGTTGTGTGTGTGTTGGGGGGGGTTCGAGCTAGCCTAGTCGATCGTCTTAAAGGAGTTTAACTCGGAGCCGAGGGGTGGAGATGAGACGACAAGCATGGATCAGCTTGGTTGTCGTAGTTGATGTCGACTACCACATTTGCAAGTTAACGACTGCCTTTCCTGGATATCTTGAGATGCCGGAGGCGTTCACAGTAAGGAACTCATGGAGGGCTTCTTTGGGCCTTTGTATTTGAGCCCCATCACTCGCATACCTGGTGGACATCACCACGTGCCAAGTCTAGAGCATTGATGAAGTTAGAATCCGCGGACCAAGGTGATGGTGGCGGGGAGTTGGTAGGGGGAATAGGCACAGGGGGGAGAGGGGGTGCAAATATAGAGGGCGAGATGGGAGAGAAGGGGGTTGAGGAGAGGACGAGGGGGATTGGGGGGAGAGGGTGGTAGAGAAGGGGGAGAGCTGAACTAGAAGAGTGGATGGGAATGAGTCGGACTAGGGTGGGGAGAAACCTGAGAATGTGAGAGGGGATTATAGGGCGGGGGGATGGGGACTCCAAAAGGTTGGGAAGGACGAGGGTAGAGGAGGGGGGTTGGGCACGATGGAGAGGGATTCGAGGAGCCAAGCGCGAGTGGTTAAGGATCTGGATAAGCCATCCCGAGGTAACGAGCAAACGGGTTGGAGGTGTGGGAGGGTGCTTACACGAGGGCAACAGGGTGGTGAGCCAGTCACGAAACGAGTCACAAGGGGCACAGGAAACTTCTGAAACGAGCAGCCACGGAGCTTAAGGGACGATGAGGGTAAGTATGATGGGATTGCAGCTTGAACGAAGCAACTTGATGGCTAACAGGGGGTGAGAGGGTGGAGGGGGTGACGTTTTATGCCTCTAAGGCCATGGGGCAATGAATCTTTGGAGTGGCTAAGTGCCACCACAGAGTTGGAGAGGGGCACCACGGGGGATGAAACTTTTGAACCAAGGGGGGATCGATAGGGATGTTCCAGATCATGCAGAGAGGACGTGGCAGGGGGCAGAGGAGGAAGGAGGTATTGGGGAGGGGCCTGAAAAAAGGCAGAAGAGGGGATTAACTGCGAGGGGATTAAGTATCACCCATTGATATTAAATTGGCGGTGAACGGGGATTAACTACAGGGGGACCATGTGAATTAATGGTAGGGATCAATCCCCAAGGGGGGTAGGGGGATGGGCGGGAGAAAAGCCTCGGATGACTTGCATAGGGGGAGTAAGACATATGATTAGGATCATGTGCAGACAAGGAGTTGACGTGTCGAGGTGTAAGATGAGGGTACACATGGGTCGAGAACCGAAGCTGCATGACAAATGGGAGTTGCCAGAGATGGGGGACCGATGAGAGGGATCGAGAACGGGGGGACACGTGGCCAAAGGGGAGAGGGGTGGGTTGATGGACGGGATGGGGATACGGGGAAACTTTTGAGCCGTTGGATGAGGAGATGAACGATTGCAGGTCAAAGGAGACTTGCGATTTGGGGAAACAATGATCCAACGGTTGGGATTTGTGGTGGTGTTGTCGGCTGTTCTCCTGGGCAAAAGTGGGAGGGGGAAGGTGGAGAGGCCTATTGCTAAGCGCAAAACACCTTGAAGAACAAGCCCTCAACCTCCATCTAGAGAGTCAAGGGGATGGACGAGGGGTCAAGAGTTTCGACAAGGACATGCATAAAGCCCATGGGGGAGATATTCCATGGATTTCCAGTGGATGGCAATGAGGAGGCCACATGAGTTGCCCAGGCTCCAGAAGGTATCTGCAGTCTGGGGTTTAAAGGCTCCAATTTCCAGAGACCAAGGGGAGAGGGGGAGGGTGGCACCTTTGAATTTTGCTTGGCGGGGCTTAGCGGCGATAGATTCGAGGTCAGACAAAGGGAGGAGGAACAGTTTTGCCAGTTGGAAGTCTCCTACAGCTAAGGTTTGGGAATAACTTGGAGGTCGTTGCGACAGGGAGAGAAAGAACCTATTTAGAGAGTTTTGTGGAGAGAGCCTGTCGCGAATACCAACCAGGAAGGAGGAGGGAGGTCATGGGATTGAGATGGATGAGGCAGAGGAGGGGTGGGATCAGGACGGGGTTGCTGTGGGCGGTAGAAGGTGGTTCCAGAGAATGTGGGAGGGCAAGGAGGGGATGATTTGGGAGGACAAAGGAGATGAGCATAGGAGTAGAGAGGATGGAAGGCCCCGACTGGGTGACTCCCTGTGCGGAGGGGAGCCATCGGGTCTCTTAAAGGATTCGAACTCTTTGTTCGTGCAATGTATATTTTATTGACACTTTTCCACTAGAAGTCTTGAACGAAAGTTTACCTCATTATACTCATCTCAAGGCGTTTGTTGCAATTTGCATGCCAACAGACAAAAGTGAAGTCCATCAAAAAATTGTGCACTAATTTAAAGGAGTGTTGTGTCAAGATAACAATCAAAAGATATAAAGGTCTTTGGTTACTCGAGAAATGGTATATATCATGAACAACTAATGAAAGCAACCCTCACAACAATGTAAGTGAATTTGAGTTTCTTCCTAATGATGTCAAAGTGCCAAACAGCAGACAAATGAAAAAATAAAGATATAGAATAGACAAATTGTTCAGAATACAGCCTATTAAGACCTGCTAAAGGGAAGAAAGGCATGTGACTGCCTCAATCAAGTCACTCGTATCAAGATTAAGAAATATCTCCATAGACATGATGAAGGGAAGAAATGCACGTGACTGCCTCAATAAAGTCACTCGTATCAAGATTTAAGAAATATCTCCATCATAAGGTACAAAAACCACACCTAGAATTCTTTCTTCACAATAGGAAATCCATAAGATCACTAAGCACCTCATTCATCGAAGCATTTGTCCGACCCTCTTTCTTCAACACATAGGGCATTTCTCGTTTCTAGATCATCTACTGAATCAAAATGCTAGAAGAGGGAGTTGACAATTAACCTTGTTGGCAGGAAGCATTGAATAAGGAACTTAGCAAGACAGTATACAGGACATGGTACCATTGCCAAAAAGCAAATAATGGGCTGCAAGGAGGCATACAAGATTAACTTGGACAGATTCACAGGCACCCAAAGATTAAGGCAAGAATAGGAAGTGGCCTTCTTGAAAATCTTCCAATACGATGGGAAACCTCAGTTGTTCAAGGGAATCCAAAACTTGGCTCTTAATTCAGTGACATGTAAGCATTGTGTTCTTGCTTGGAGATGTACCTTATCTCCATTTTCGACCACAAAAAGGCAATGACCAAGGTCTTCTTTGCATTACTATGTTATACCCCACAATCAGTTATTGCATTTAATTCTGTGCACATAGACTTTTTATAGTGGGCATCATAGCCTTGCATGAGGGCCCAAACCTCCCAGTCTAACTTACCCAAATAAACAAAGAAAACATTTGAGTAAAACAACTATAATACCATCAGAATCAAACAGAGATTCTTGAAGTGCACCCCCAAAAGAAATGTAATTAAACAATAGACATGCATTCTTGCTGTATTATTACCTTGTTGAAGGTATTTAGCTTTCATTTTCATGGAACAAAAGGCCCCATAATAGTTACGAAGCAGATATCTCAAGATATGGTTTTCTGGAGTTTCCAGCAAGAAATTTCACTTGACAATCACACAAGTCACACAAGACCCAAAGATGTTATTATCCTATAAAAGAAATGAAGGGACTGTAAACCACACATAATTATTAGAATAGATCATAGGAACCTATCTCCATTGTATTCAGAGCGAAAGGATTTTTTTATCGTAAAGAGAAATATCGCAAATTGCTAGTATCAAAAAACCGCAAATATTTTATCAGGAAAATGCAAGGGTGGAAACAATGACACAGCTAAAAAAAGAGGATCTAAGGACATTGAAGCAAGTCTAAAACAAAAAAAAGATAGGGAGAAACTTTGATGGATGATCTCGTCCCTCATTGATCGCTCAAGATGTAGATATCCATTTAGGTACAGATACCGGAAACTATATTTACAAGACAAGTTTGAATTCATCATCGATTTTTCTAGCCTTGGTTTCTTAAATGCAATCCTTTACAAAGAACTCCATGTATAACTTATACCAATGCAATCCTTTACAAAGAACGCCATGTATAACTTATACAAATAACCTCCTGCAACCAATAGAGGAATAGTTCATCCATTTGATTGTGTTACTTGTTGCTAACTAAGGGAAACCGATATAGTGGAAAAGGTAGAAACAGTAGCTTTCATTAGTTGCCCGTCAAACAAAGAATTCAAAGGACTTAGACATGTAAGCAGAAGGGACTTGTTGTTTTGACGATAATCAAGGAAACAACTAGACATTACCACTCGACTATGAGCCCAATAGCAATTCTATCCCATTTATGAGAAGTGCTAGAAATCTGCTTGAAGGAAAATTGAAACTTTTGTATGTGACAAGCATACTTTTCCATTAGAATAAAATCCTCAAACCTCTCAATAATTTTATGGAATAGCAAGAATGGCTCCAATGTGGCATGTTGATTGACATGTTACCTCTATGATAAGACTAACATTCAAACTACTTCTTAGACTTTTCAAATATTCTTCAGTGTGCACCTGCCAACAAAACAAACAACTCATCAGTAGTATCACAATTAAATAACAAACCTAATGATTCTACTTTATTCCACGCCTTCTCACATCACAAGACAAGGAGTAACGAAAAGTAGTAGGAATTACTTGAAAGAAAATCGAAGTGTCTGAGAGCTTTCCAACATCATCCATAAATAAGACATATAGTACCAAGTCATGAATGATTGCATAATAAACATGGATAGAACGTCAAGAAGCCAATGTTAAGATGCATTTGAATGACGTAAATCACAGTTCAAATCAACTTAACCTGATGTATATACAATAAGAAACCATTTCTATTGTTGTCCTGCAGCCATTCAAGAACATAGGGCACACTCCATTGATTGAACCAATGGCAAGGGTGCCACCCAGAATTATTACCTTTGTTGACTAATTGTTTGGTCATTAGCAGATCGTTAAAATCCAACAATAGCACACCTATGCAATACCCCACTTTTGAATTATGTTCACAACAACACTACCGAAGGAACTCTCAGTGAGAAGCCTTTAGCCCCTTGGAAATCACAGATTCCAACAGTTACAGCAATTCTACTGATACAACTTTGAGGGGAATTGAATCAGCATTCGTAATGTTTCACGCCCACACCTCAGTTTGAAAAGAGTTTCCTAAAGGGAGGGGAACGTACCAAGGGGAAGAGAAAGGGTTTAACCAGGAGGTCTAAGTCGCAAAATGTGAAAATGCATTTCTATAGTAGGAACAGCAACCTAAGTGGGACTTTTAAGAGCCAACATCCTCAAGAAGAAGAAAAAAACATTGTAATGAGCCAAGATCAAGAATGGAAATCGATTGAGTATAATAGCCATTGACTTGAATCAATCCCATGCAATAAATATTTCAAGGAAAATAAACTAGAAGCATTAAGTTCCCTTCTTAGATTAGCATCCAATGAGTAAAACCAAATTGATAGCATGTCAAAGAATGATAATACAAAAAAAAAAACTAAAAATAAAAAACTGCATTGAAAACTAGAAACAAACTTCAAAGAAGTCATTCATGATCCAAATCTTACAAGCTGAAATTTGAAAGCTTCTTTAAATGAAACGGGGGGTGATATTCAGCAAGATGAAAGATACCACTAGTAAGTCATCCTTCGAAGCTTCTAATGGTTCTACAAGTCGGTTTTTATCCAAAAAACCTTCCACAACAAGAAACTGGCAGATACGTCCCCATTTTGAAGAATCAAACGGGTGCCTACATCAACACAAGTAATGTAAGAAAACCCAACATATCCTCTAGAATAGAGACATCCATTATCTATCACATATCACATCTAATCCAAGGTAGTCAAATAGAGAGAGCAAAGAAAAATAAAACCAAAACTAAATAGTATGAACAACAAAAGGAAGGCTACTAATTAAATTTCTAGTAAGGTACAATAAGAAAGAATTGTTGATAGTATGATGATCAAGTTTGAAATCTTATAGTATATTACAACTTACTGCACTGTGATAGAAAATTATTCGCATATTATCTTCGCTACATCATGATAAGCGCAAATATAGCATGAACTAAACCATGTAATAATCAACACCATTTCATGTACAAATGCTTAATTTACTTTGTTCACTAATACATTGGGGAATTGATTCATTTCTCAAACGACCCAGGCAATGTATGTCTTGAGAGTAACATTTTCATCTTCCAAAAATGACAATTCTCTGCTACTAACCATGGTTCTTTTTTTAAACATAGAGATTTGAACTCCATAGCAGTAAAACTGACATTTGACCATACTAGGATGTGGTTCCACTATGGTGACGGAATTTTCTTCTATGGGAAACATGTAACCAAGAGGTTCGATTTTAGAATTGTGCAATCAAGCTTCTTAAGAAAGAACACTAACCCACAAAAAATCTTACACCTGCAATACTCACAGCTAGCTAGTACAGCAAAGTAAGAAAACTATTAAGGAATAACAAATAACTTGTACCTTCATCAAGTGAATCAAATAATCACACCAAACCAGGAACCCAAGTGACATCAGCTTCAGAATTGCTTAGGACGCAAAGATATTGAACAATATATCACAATATCTCATCACACCACATCGCATTCTTAACTCTCCCAGCCCCTCTAATGGAATATGCACCAATGCATGGTAGGCATCCAAATTCATATTAGATGCCTTGAACTATTTATTGCAGCATGTGGCAATTCACAAAATATTTCATGCTTTCAACCAACAAGCCTAACATATGGTATCAACCACATAGGGAGAGAGAGAGTTGATGACAAGGGTAATTGACACCCCTTGTGTTTAGACTACACAAACAGGTCAATGTATGATTCAGTCAATGTGGTAGAAACATATGGGCCAGCCTACCCGCAAATCAAACCCATTCGATTATAACACTCCATATGCAAGCAAGCGACAAGGCATCTCATAGTATGTCACATCCAAAGCAACTTAACCACCCCAGTATAAATCAGAAACCCCCTACCAGCATTTGACCTTACTCATCTATGGAACACTATAGTCAGAAATCACGTTTGGTGAACTACGTTCATTTTCAATTCTTTGCTTTGATTCATACCATCCATGATCAATACGAGATGATGTAACATCATTCACAAGTAGTCCAGCTATTCCCTATTTTTCCTCATTTGGAATTGATCAGATGACATCATTTACATATCATATGCATATAATCACACGGATATGGGTGGAATTCTCTTCTTTTTTTCAGTAAATGATGTAATTTCGATATGCAAAAGTCCACTACCAAGGCAGTTGGCAAAATACCCCATCTCCCAAGGAAGAAACCAAAGAATAATTCATCCAAAGAAATATTCCGAAAATTACAAAAAAGAAACAAAGAAAAAAAAAACATGAGATTACTCAATCCCCAGTTCCAAATTCAAATGTTAATCACACAGAAAGCAAAAATTATTCATAGAATATCTAAATAAGGCCAATTGAGATTGCAACAGTGAAAAAAGAATAAGCAGTACAAAAAACCAACAAAAAATAAAAAGCAGTTAAGAACTTACACTTTCTCGATCCCCATAAACGATATGTCATAGGAAGGTGAATAAACGACAGGAACCTATGATCATCACGCAGAAAAAGGATTCCAATATGACAGTTTGAACCCATAAATTTAGAGAGAGAGAGAGAGAGAAATGAATTGTGGGTTGGAAGAAATAGTACCCACAAAATAAAAAATTTCACTCACTTTGTTGGGAGGCACGTCAAAATAGAGTTTAGAGGACAGAATCCGTTTCCTCTTCATGTCTTCGACAACTATTTCAGCGGAAGTGGCAGCAGCAGCAGAAGCCGAGGACCGAGTGGCGGCCATAGCCAGAAGCAGTGGAATTGGGGATGAAGAGAGAGAAGAGGACTCCGTGGTGCGGAGAGCCGAATCTCCGTCGGATGATTTTAAATTGGAAAGAGTTTATATAGAGCCCAGGCTCTAAACAATCAAACTAGAGCCCACTTCAAAAATTCGAAGCGGTTGTTTTGATGCCCAAATATCCTCGAAGCTGTTATCTCGACCAGATGCTAGAAAAAAAATGGATTTCTAAGTTTCGAAAATAGCGCAAAATAAATTTCAAATTTTAAAAGTAGTGTATCATTTTTTGATAATTTTCAAGTTACTGCTTGAAAATTTAAATTTTATAATTAAAAATAAAAATATATTTTAAGACTATCACAAAGATTTTCAATATTGAAACCACAAGGTACTATGTTAAGTTGGGTTCTAATTTGATTGTTGAGAGTCGCAGCTCTATACAAACTTGCACCCTTTCAAATTATATTACATAATAAAATATACATATCTATATATCTATGCTACATTATTAAGCACACGAGTTAAAAGGTGGACACCGGTCGCGAAAATAAGAATGGGCCTATGGTAGGAGACATTCCTATATTAAGGGTACATTATCAAGCAAGAGTTAATGGATGGACACATGTCACGAAAATAAGAATCCACCCTAACTCTATAGAGGTTGTAGGAGACATTCCCACATTTAAAGATGCATTATTAAGCAAGAGTTAAAGGGTGAACATGTGTCGTGAAAGTAAGAAGGGACCATAACTCTTTAGAGGTTGTAGAAGACATTCCCAAATTTAAGGGAGAATGACTTTTTGAAGTGAGACAGACATCTTTTGTCTTAAAATTAGTGCGTAGAAGAGAGTGAGACTTTTTGAAGAGGGAGATGTCCCTGGTCGGATGGATCGATCTCGCCTTCCCGGATCTAGGTGATTAGGTGACACGTGTTTCGAGTTCGAAAGACCCAGGACCTGAGACCACTCTCTCGGGAACCTTGTTCACAGAACAAGTGCAGGTGCCCAACTAGTTAGAGAGGAATTTTAAAACTTGAGGTGGGGACCAACCTCACCTGGGTCAATGACTCTCTCTTGACCTGCAATCTCCTTGTTTTCTGCACAGCACCAACATGGTTAATTTGCAAGACAAGTGGGCCGAAGGACCCACCCTTATCTTAGGACGGTGCACATTCATAGAGAATATGAGAAGTTAAGATGATGAAAAAGACGATGTGAATGGAGGGAGGGAAGAGAAAAGCACTAGACAAGGGGACGAGCCTAGCCTAATAGCTTGACATGTATAATGACTCGGAATGGTAGCAAGAAAGGCACAGTAACTCAGACCGACGCGGCTGCAATACTACTCAAAACCAAGGGCGACATGACTGTCCTAATCTTGTGTGGCCGCAAGACGGGCATGGTACTCAGGAACAGCACGACGGTAATACTGCTCGACAGCCAGACCGCTATGACAGTGCTAGATTGAGTCTATCCTTTAATCAAGCGAGAAGAGAAGAAGAAGGAAGAAAAGAGAACAAAGGGAAGAGACGAGACGGCAAAGATGGAAGGTCCCGACGGCTTTAAGCATCGTCGTCCATAGTTGTGGAGTAACAGCGTCATGACCCCTAAACGACGCTAGACACTACTGCTATCGGCAAAAGGGCAAGCAGTGAACTGTAGATGGCGTTAGCCATCGCAGTCAGCAACACGAGGAGGCAACATGACCCTTCGTGGGTGGCGATAGACATCGCCGTCCACGATAGGTACAAAGCGTAAGAAGCCTGCGAGCGGCAATAGACATTGTCGCGACCCTTCACAGGCGGCGATAGCCATCGCCGTTTACTAGAGATGCAGCGCACAAGAGAAAGACACACGGGCGATGATAGTCATTGTGGCGACCCTTCGCGGGCAGCGATAAGCATTACCATCTGCGAGAGACACAAAGCACAGACGAGATCCCGTAGGCCACGATACGCATAGCCATCGCGATGGGCGTGCAGCAGGGTGAGACCCCTGTGGGTGGCGATAGGCATCACCGTCTGCGCTTGTGCAAGATGCCGAAGACACGCTTGCAGACGGCGATGAGCAGCGCCATCTGTGACCCATAAGAAGAAAGAAAAAAGGCTCGCGATCGACTATGCACATCGCCGCGTGTGACACCAATCTTAGAGTTGAAACATGAATCCGACCTGCTGCTTGAGCACGGCCTGACTCACTGTATGCTCCTTCAATAGGCGTTACGCACAATGATGACTAACATCATGCGCGAAGCTACAAGAAGGAAAAAAAAAAGAGGCATGCACGACACTGCCACTGCGGTGCATGGCCTCTAAGAAAGGCTCAGAGGAAGAAAGAAGAGAAGAAGAGGCAAAGAAAACTGAAAAGAGAGAAGAAAAGAAGAGAAAGAAAATACCTTGAGAGTAGGAGGGGTACCACTCTAAACTTTCTCTTTCATCTTTCTCTCCAAGACGCACCACGAATCCAAGGAAGAATATTATTGCTCAACGTAGTGTTTACAATGACTTTTTTCAGCCTCTTCTCAATGAGAAGTAGCGTCTATTTATAGACTAGGGCTAAAACGTGGATAGATGACCCAAAACTAACCCTAATTGATGATAATTACATCTTTTTATAATTAAATAAAATAAAAAAATAGGGTACAAAATGACTGATTTGCCCCTGCTTAACAATTGAGAAAATTTCAAAATAGTCCCTACTGAGAACTAGGGACGTTTTTTATTGTTCTCGGACGATCCGGCTTCCGAATGAACAAAAGATGATTGCCATTGCGTAGGGCTTGATGCTATGATCACTTGGATATTAATTTTAAGTCATGAATCACACTTTAAAGGCATGATCACATAACTTGAAATTCACATAGATCTTGAAAACTTTCGATCGATAATGCATCTTCATGTCGATGTTTTTCTATGATTTCTTTACTGAATTGCACTGAGCATGTCATCACGATTGCGTTGCAACAAACGGGGCGCGATTTGGTGCCCGAATGAAGTTTTGGCCATCTCCGACTTTTGGTCGAAATTTACAGTCACTTTGACTCGTTCGTGTATGGAATCCAACCGTTCATCACGTGTGGGGTTCGGACCAGTGATAACCATGTACCCTACGCAAGCTATGCAACTGGTCTCATGTCGATCGGATTGCGGGCATTGTGATTTGGTCACTCAAGTGACCAGAGGTATTGCTGATTTTTTGCATCGTGCAGCTTCGAATTGCAAACTTCTCTCTAGCTTTTCTCTCGGTTCAGTCATTGTCACGGGACATGCCATATATCAAAACGCTCGTCTTAACGAGACAAACAGATTCCAACAAGTTTAAGCACGATCTGATCTCAGAAGAGTGAGATGTGAGCATCACAACTCACTATTTGTGACTGTCCCTTTAATGGAGCTTAGTTACAGGGTGGACACACGGGAATAATGTGCAGCTCCTCCTGTTTTAGTTTTTTACCCATAACTTCTTCCTGAAGTGTCCGTTTAAGCTGAAATTTGACCTCTGGAGGTTTTCAACCATATCGGATCCAATAGCAGTAATCGCACGGCTGTTTGATGCTCCGAAAATAGGGTTTCAGTTATAAGGGTCTCTTTTAGGGTGCTAAAGGCTGATTATGCCGAAACTGTTTCTTTGTCTGCACTGCCTTAGACATATCGGAATGTGACGAAACTTGGTTGGTGACTTTTAGGAGTCCTTATAAAGATCATGGCTAATTATGGGGTCATTCTAAGACTGTCAAAATTTTCATTGTTTGTCAGGCTTTATTGATCGACTTCTCTCTTTTATTCCGCATCGGGGACCCATGGTGTTGAAAAATATCTTCAAACAGCATGCTCCGTCGAATATTGTGCTTAGAGAAAAGCGAGAAGGAAAATATTCAGAAAATTTCCTCTAGATTTATTTCTTTTTTTTTCCTAGCCACAAGACCACGTGAACACCGAGGAAAAATCCATGTAATGCTATAACTAGGATGCTCATACGTTTGGATGCATTTGTCGCGAATGCATCCGTGGAGACCTTGGGGGGAGAAAAGACTTTTGAGGGATCTTGTCGAAGTCCTCACCCTCAAGGGACTATTCATGATTCTGGCAACTGAGGATTTTGTGTGGACCCCGTTGGTCGGAATCAGGTCTATCTGGCGGCTAAGTGCCTTGCTTTATGGCACTATTCTCATTTGGTCCGGGTTTCTTTGTTTTTGGATTGACAGCCAAAAAGCCTTTGGTCGACGTTGTTCACTTCTACACCAGGTTTGCTTTTAACAAGGGTACTTATATGGGCCCCATCCTGCCGGGTCCAGTCGGGGGCTTTTTGTTAACCTGTTCCGAAGGTCTAGGCCTGTCGGCTAGGGAGGGATTTTGGCTAGGCGGCCTCATGGCGAGGCATCACCATGAAGTCTCTGACAGGTTTCACCCTGGCTTTGTCAGTTTCTTGCCTTCATGGGCCTCTTTGATTTGTTGAAATGACTTTCTTGTTTTTGGAGGGATCTTTCGGTCATTGTCCTCACCCTCAAGGAGTCTTCTTATTTTTGAAGGATCTATTGTTCATTGCCCCCACCCTCAGTGACTCTTTTTATTTTTGGTGTTTGGGAGATCTTGTCAGGCTCTCACTCCCAAGTAAGTCATCTTGTGTTTTTGATGAGGTCATGATGCTGCATTAATCTGCTTTATAGGTCCAAGCGCCCTTTGCCGATTTTCACCTGGACTGGGGAAGTAGCGTCGTAAAGACGGTTGTCACCAACCACTTTTATTTTTGGGCTCTTTTAACCACGACTTTTCAGCCATGTCCACCCCTTTTCATCCATTTTTGCTCACGGCACCCTTTCGGGTTTTCACCGTGCCCCAGTTTTTGTTTTCACGAAACTCTTTTACTCATGGTTTCGTGACCATGCCCATCCGTCGTTTTTACTCATGGTGTTCCCTTATCCAGGTATACACCATGCCCATTATTCTTTTTTTTTTTTTTGTGAAGGCGTTTTTAGGGTCATTCCTTCGAGACCAGTGAGAAGCCTTTTAACGTCATGCGGCCAGGACATGTACTATAGTTTAAGGCCATACAACTGGACCATGGTGGTGATGGATGGCAGTTGTTGAGGCCATTGAGTGAGTATGGTGGTAGTTTTGGCTCACTTT